TAAGTTTTGCACCAATAAATTTAATAGAAAGAAAAAATTGTTTTTTTATGAGTATTAGCTTCAAAGTGAAAATACGATTTTAAAACATTGTTCAAAAATGACAAGCAATTTTTAACAGATGCTTTATGATCCACCCCCGTATAAGTAATGTGAAATAATAATGTATAGTATACGAACAACAATATTTCATTATTCAATCACTAGTTAGCATCACCTAATTTAAGAGTTTCCTCCAGCTTTTGGTATATCCTGTCTATGGTTTTTGACATTGCTGAGCCAAGAACTTACTCCAGTGTCTCTAATGGGAACTCCAACTTCCTTCCCAATAAGGGCCACAGTTTATAAATGCCTACAAAGTGACTTCGTTTTTCGTTTACCTTCTTAGTCTTCTCCGATTAGTAGTACCATATTGGATTCATTGCCTTGATTACTCCATCATCAAAATGTTCTAGCCTCCTTCACCTTATACTCACTTTTTAAGTTACGTCTCTACACTTTTAAAGTCATCAAAGACCAAAGCTATCAAATTCAACGTTACTGGACCCTTAAGGTTAGCTACTTTCATAACATCTCCCGAAAATTTGATGGTTAAAATTTAGTTTGGAATCTAATACCATTTCAAAAAAATTAGTGTGTTCCACAGTCTCAAACTTGCTATTATTTAATGTAAAAGTTATATTGTTACCTTTCTTAATCGGAGATGTGAATTGATAATGAGATGATTTTTTTTTGACATTGAATTGTAACTCATGTCGGCTACAATTACGTTGTTTCGTCTGCGTATATAGGATGTTCCTTATGATATGCGAATATTTAAAAGGATGTGAATCTACTTGAAAAACTAATGACTGCTTTATAAAATATGGTGCAAAACAAAAATGTTGTTACGAAAATACCTAGTGCTACAGATTCGGAAAATTAATATATTACAGTAATATTTAATATTCCATGACATTTAAGAATGGTGCATATTTTTAAATACAAAAATAATTTTCAGTTTTAAGGGTGGCGTTCGTTCGAGCCATGTTCGAGCACTAGCCTCAATAAGTTTGAAGAAAATTATGGTACGCCAATAATTTTTCCCAAAAAAAAGTATTGTTTTAATTCCCAATTCAATTTTAAACTTAAAACATCTTTTGATTTTTTTTTACTACATGGCTCCGTTTTTGAGTAAAAAAATAAGAACTGTTTTATTGTCTGAGAAAATTAATGTAATTATTGAAGAATGAAACATTTTTTTTACATTTGGACCATAGTTTATACAGCAAACTATCACTAATTTTTCATGTAGATTTACATTCTTAAATATTCGCATATCAATCATTAAGGAACACCCTGTATAGAAACTCGTCCATTTGTTATACTTAAGGATAATTCATTTATGTAGAGGAGAAATAAGTGTTCCTAATACTCCATCTTGGGGATTTCCAATAAAAGTACTAAACTCATCAGATAACACATCAATATGCACTTTGAGTGTTCTGTTAGACATATGTGAGTTGATCTAAGATTAAATTGCTTCAAGTTTTGTTGATAAGTGGGATTAATCGTCGAAAAATATTTCCTCTAAATCAGGCCTGCATAACTCAGATTTTCAAAGGGCCAGATTTGAAAAACCGTAACTGTAGATGGCCGCCAACAGAGGCTTGAGACTAGGCGGGCTAGCGGGCCGCCAAATCGACAAGGTGGGCCGTATGTTGTGCAGGCCTGCTCTAAATAGTTGTTCTGATCGATATTTTCATAGACATACTGTACAAGTTCAATTAAAGAAGTTAACAGCTAAGTAGGTATACGAATATTCTCTAATTCTCGACACAATGAGGATCATCTGTTTTGAATAAAGGAATCGCTTTATTTATTTTTAGTTTTTTGGGAACCAGCCTTGAGTAACAGATAAGTAGGTAATGTGAGATAGTTGGACAGATAGTTTATAGTCCATTTTGACCTTGAGTTTTTTGAAATCATCTTTTAGGACACCTAATTCCGTTTCAACCTATTCAACTCTTTCTTCATTTTCCTGTTGAATGGGAGCAAGTTGTCATTGTAATTTTGAATCCAAGTAGTTCTTTATGTTCTCAAAAAGTCCATCCTCATTGTTGTTGACAATTTTTAAAGAGGAACATTTTACAACACTTTGTTGTTTACCATTCGAATTAGAGGGATTGCATTTGGAGTCCTTCAATTCATCAGCATAGAAATTAATTTCATCAGTTGTGCAACCAGCCGGAGTAATTGTCTTCTATGTCTATGAAAACACCCAAGTCGGACTCCTTACTATCCAGGGATCTTTCTATCCGGCCAGCAACTAGATGAAGGGCTGAATCAGTAGATCTGCCTGGGGTGTATGCATGTTGGTTTGAGTGTAGTGGTGTTGTTGTAATCACCGCATCCCTTATGTACCTTTCGCATAGCCTTTCCAATGTCTTTATGAAAAACGATGTCAGACTAATTGGTCGGTATGTTTTTGGGACAGTGTAATTCATCCTTCCAGGTTTGGGTATTAATACCACTCTTATCTCTCTCCATTTTTTGAAGATATACCTCAGAACCAACGAGGATCTGAATATACCCATCCGGTGCGGTGTGAGTTCTTCCAGACTCCACTGAAGTAGGGCTGGGTAGATACCGTCAGGTCCTGGCGATTTAAATGGAGAGAAGCTGGATATTGCCCATCTAATTTTTTCATCGTCTACAATGTGTCTGGCAGTTTGCCAATCATAGACAGATGGATTGTTTTCTTCCTCTGCCCAGTCGGCCACGTCTGTGATGACCGAGCCAGGGAAGTATGTTGACAGCAGAAGTCTGATGCTATCTTCGAGGTTGGCAGTTTTCGTGCCATCCTCTTTGGTTAGCGCACCAATGCTTCCGTGTGGATCTTTTGAGAGAGCTTTTTGAAGCCTCGCTGCCTGCGGGAACTCTTCGATTTCTTCGCAGTAGGATCTCCATGCATCTCTCTGTTTTTGTCTGACAATTTTTTTGTATTCTCTGAGGTGAGATTTGTAAGTATCCCAGTCCTCTTTGAGTTTTGTGGTTCTTGCCTTGAGTATTTCTCCAAAGCATTGTTATTGTTTGGTGTTTCGGCCTCCATCTCTCTCAGAGCCTCTTGGAGAAAGCGCTGACCGTCTTCCTAGGGTTCCGAGATAGCGTGGAGGTCGGCAACATCAAGTTTATTTTGAATGTTAACCATCGGTGGTCTGACACTTGCCAGTTTAGAATTGATTTATAGATAACAGTTGTGGATAAAGTGATATCTATGAGTGTTTGACTGCGAGAGTTTAAAAATATTGGTGTAGTACCTTTAATTAAAATGCAAAGATTTTTGGTAATTATATAATCGTAAAGTGACTTACCTCTAGCGTTGTTATCCTTACTGCCCCAACTAAAGTGATGAGCATTTGAGTTGCAACCTATTACCACCTCAAACTTTGTTCCAGGCAGTATGCAATCAGATCCTCCATTTTTTCTGGGTGGTGGCGTGGTTGCATCGGAAGGGATGCCAGGATTAACGTTTTCTTTTCCCTTTTGATGTCGTATTCCATCCTAACCGCAGTTAACGGAGGTGGAAAGTTGCGCCATTGAGTGGGCTTTGTATTTCCTAGGAATGTAAATGGCTGTCCTAGGTTGTTGGTTGCTGGGAAAGCTAAAAATTAAACCATTTAGATTTTTAAGACCCAAAATTTTGGTTTTTATTATCCAGGGTTCCTGGATGAGTGCTATTGTATCTTGCAGCTCATCAAGGCGGCGGCATAATGTAGCCGTAGCCACCCTTTTGTGCTGCAAGTTACATTGTATGATAGTTACCTCTTTTATTGCTTCCCGGTCTTGCAAGGTGGTTTTTTTTATTCGACCATCCCTTCCTCCGAAAGTGGGCAGGAGATGATCTCTTGTGGCTCCTCAGAGTTTTCATGCTGGAGGTCATCGATTGCCATTTTTCTGGCTCGACGTCCTCCACTGTTGGCTTGAATTGGGGGGAAGAGGGTCCTTTGCCAAGAAGTCTTCACTGGGCCCCTCTTCAGCCTCTTTTTCGACCTTTGGCCTTATAGTCAATGAGGTGAACGCATAGCTCATCCTCATTGATTTGGCCTTTAGGGTTCCCATGTCTTCGTCTCCGATGCCGAAGAGATGGCCCTTGGGGTCTTTTTTTTATTTCATGATGGAAGGTGCACCATTTTGCCACATGTAAGTTTGGGTTTGCCCCTCAAGTCACCTGAGCACAACCTTCTTCTCGTCAAGGTCAGATTGCGCTTCTCCTGGGATCTAGAGAGAGGCTTCGGTGAGCTTGGGGAGCTCGTCCATCTTTACAACAGCGAGTGTTGCTCCTTCCCATGTTTTTCAGGTTGGTACCTTGGTTTTTACCCATTCCAACGTCAGGTCATCGTCGCACGTTACTCTGATGATTTCACTAGAGTGCGTCCAAGATCTGAAGGTGGATGGCTTGGTTTTGCTGCAGGAGGCGGACAAAATTGTTTTTTCCAGCTCTCCCATCAATGTCTTTTTGACAATGATTTCTCTTTCGGTAGTTATCTTACCGTAAGGGTTATCCTTGTCTATTATAGCTACTTTCAGGTGTCTCGTAGCTGCATCCTTGTAGCTTATCCAGACAGAACTTTGTCGTCCTGTCTGGGTTTTTTCTCCTTCCGGGGCCTTACCTCGGAAGAGGTGTGAGATCGCGGCCTTTTTCTTAATGCTGTAATAGTTTTTTTTAAGAGATTTAAAGGAGGTTAAGATTCATAGAAAAATGGTTAAAAGTGTCAACAAAAAGTAAAATTCATGACCAACTAGGACTCAATAAAACTAGCTTCAATAATAGAGATTAGTCGATAAGAATAGCAACAGATTGGAATCTCCTAGAATGCAGTCTCAAAGGAAGACCTATGATGGACAAAATAATTGTGCATAACAACATCAGAAATTTGGGAATTTAATGTTGGAGATTATAAACATATTTATAAAAATCTTATAAGAAATAGTCACATTGTATCTTGTTTGTAAAGAATTACATTCCTATTAAATATGGGTTTATTTAGAACCATCTTGGTGGCAATGTCTACCCTTTTCCCTTATAACATAAGAACATTTCCCAATAAAAAACCCAGTATGTATATGTGTGAATACGGATTTTATTGATTTGCTGTAAAAACATTTATTATAAATCTAAGTAACACCTTAAAACAATTTAATAATTAATACAGAAATATTTCCAACAATAACATCAATTTTTTTAAATTTTAGGTTTTATCACAGTTCCAAAAAGAATTTTTAACAAAAGATGCAAAGAAACTAAAAAATATAAAAAAATGTATAAAAACATGGATAAAAGTTTTTTTGGGATAAACAATAAATCAATAAGAAAAAAACACTTTAATCATCTAATGCTCCATTTAAAGTTGGATCTAAAACCGACAAGGCAGCACCTATTAAAAGTATAGACCCTGTGACTAAAGTATCGTATTCACCAGACTTTTTTAAAAAATCTAACGCATTCGAAAAGGACGCAAATACTTCGACATTCTCTTCGTGATAATTAGAAGATTTTTTCATCTCTAACCATTTCATTTTATTTTCCTGGCATTTTAGTAATTGCTTGTCCTCTGGAAATTTAAGGTCAGCTGTATCTTAAAATGAATCATGAAATAAAAAACTAAGATGACATAAGAGCTAATGTATCACAATGAGAATAAAAATTTGTTATTAATAAGTGACAATGCCACAATATTGTATTATCGCTGAGTATTAATAAAAATATGTGTTTAATAATACATTGTTTGACAGTTTACCTGCTTTATCATTAAGACCACCAACATTTGGAATGAACATTATTATGTCGAATCCACATTTCTCTAATTCATTAAAAAATATGCAAGGATCTCTCTCTCCTGTCAAATTAAATATTAAGCATTTTTTCTTACTGCTTTTTTCTGTATGGGATAAGTACCAATCTCGACAGACCCGACAACTATCTAAAGTATGCGCTCCATCTAAATAAAATCTGAAAAATTCAAGTTAAAAAAAAGTTATATAATAGTGGATAATATTACGTAAGATTATTGTATTGTTTTATTTCATATCTTCCAGGCCACTGTGCTTCTTGAATTGATTTTTTTGCTAAAGCAAGGTCGAATTTTTTGAAATTGTTATTTGTATCTGAAACAAAAACGAAATAGAACTTATGACAAATGTTTAATTTTCTGAAATTAATCAAAAGAAACAAAAACAAAGATCTATAAAAACGATCGTGCAACATATGGATCTGGCGTTTTATTAGTAATAAACCAAAATAAACAGATACTAATGACTATGAAAACAGAATTTTGGTTGTGTAAAATTATCAACTAGACTCCTTGGCAATGAAAAAAAAAAAAAAGCTCAAGAAGTTGGAAATCATGCATTAGGCCAGAGGTGATCGTCAAAAAACCTAAGTTGAAGATTGGGAAGAAGTTTCTACAAGGTATTGAAATCACTTTGTTAAGAAGAATGTAAAAATATACTTATCATGTGACTCAATAAAAACTACACTCACATACTATATACTGATTTCGTGGATTACTTTCTACTTATTCATATTATTATTTAATACAAGTAAATAAATGTATTCTAACCTTTTTTCATAAAAGCTTCAGTTAATGCCAAAGCTAGACTAGCATTTGTTTTTGTAACATTAATTGGTACATTGGCATTATTTTCTCCAAAAACGTTATCTACGACTTGAAGTGTACACTAAAAATAAAATTACAGGTAAAAAATATCTATTAAAAGGCTTTGCAGAAACCACAATTTAAAAAAAAAACCTTTAAACTCTGTTTGCTAGCAATGCGGACTGACAAAAACTGAGGATCAATGGAGAGCCACGCCATTAAATTAAAGAAATTAAAAAGAAATTGAAATTTTTAATAAATAAGTGTTTCCATTTAAAGATAAAAAATAAATTGCGATTTACTGTTATTTTCGAAAAACCGGAAGTAATCCATGATCTCATAGACCAATTGAATTAAGTATTTGACAGTATTTATTCCAAGCTTTCCACCAAAAAAGTTTTCATTCCGATATCTTACTTAATAAGGAAGATAAGAGCGGGTGGAATTACTAAACAGTTTGCTAATAACAAAAATCTTAGATACGCCACTGGTACACTGTAAATGGGTCGTAATGGGAACTTTGAAGCTTACAAAGATTTTATACATTTTGACAGCTGACAGAAAATTTTCAACACACGATTTTTCTCCATAAATGGCCCTGAAATTCAAATTTTCAATAAAAAAAGGTTTTTCTATTTAAAAATTAAAAATAAATTGCGATTTTTTGTTATTTACGAAAAACCGGAAGTAAGCTATGACGTCATAGACCAATTAAATCCAGTATGTCACAGTATTTGTTCCAAGCTTTTAAACAAAAAAGTTTTTGTTCCAATATCTCAATTAACAATGAAGATAAAAGCGGATGGAATTTTTTAATGGTTTGCTAATAATGAAAATGATTAGATACGCCACTGCATGGTGTACTGTAAGTGGGTCTCAATAGGAATTTTAAAGCTTACAATGATTTTATAAAGATCATACATTTCCATATTTTTTCCATAAACGAATTAATAGTAACATGTAAAATATGTTATAGTAAAATATCCAATATGGCGGCCATTTTGACAGCTGACAGAAAATTTTCAATATGTACCAGAAATTCAAATTTTATATTAAAAAGGTGTTTCGATTGTAAATTAAAAAATAAATTGAGATTTTCAGTTATATCCGGAAAAATCGGAAGTAAGTCATGGATCCAGTACATGAAAGTATCTGTCATAGGCTTTTAAACAAAAAAGTTTTCATTCCGATATCTCAATTAACAAGGAAGATAAAAGCGGATAGAATTATTAAACGGTTTGCTAACAATAAAAATGCTTATACGCCACTGGTATAAAATTAATGGGTCTCAATGGGAATTTTGAAGCTTACAAAGATTTTATAAAGATCATACATTCCTATATTTATTTCCATAAATCTAATTAATAGTAACATGTTTACAAAAAATATTATCCAATATGGCGGCCATTTTGACAGCTGTGAGAAAATTTTCAATACATGATTATTATACAAAAATGTCCTAGAAATTCAAATTTGCAATAAAAAAGTAGGTTTCAATTTAAAAATAAAAAATAAATTGCGATTTTCTGCTATTTCCGGAAAAACCGGAAGTAAGCCATGACGTCACAGAATAATTGAATCCATCATCAGAAAGTATTTGTTCAAGTCTTTCAAACAAACAAAAAATATTCCGAAATCTCAATGAATAACGAAGATGGTGGAACTTTTAAGTGCCCCACCCAAATATTAATAAATAGTTATTAGTTATAAAATAATTCAGCAACTGTTATAGCTCATACAGAATACTGTTATAGCTGATACAGCTATTTTATGGTTGTTTAAACGAATCCCATGTGGGGGTGTCCCATGTTTGCCTGTTTTTATATGTATTTGTGTTATTGCTAATTAAGATCGGTTTTCATGTGGTCAGAAACTCCAAGAAATAACCGAATAATTCTAGAAAGAAAAGGTGTAAAAAAATAAATTTAATAACACAAATTTCTCCAAGAGTAATAGTAATGGATAACGCATCGTATCATAGCAGAGGGCTGGAACAGTTGCCAAAATGCTTGGCGTAAGATAAAAATAAGATATCGGATTTGAGGACTTCTTTATCAAACCTGAATTACTATTACTAGCAAAACAACACTTATTCCAAGTACAATAAAACAAATATTGTGTTGATAAAATGGCACGAATTCACATTAAGGAAGTACTTAGATTGCCCCGTATCATTATGAGCTCAATTATATTGACATAATTTGGGTAAAAAAGTAGAACGGAAACTATAATGAATATAAACATGACCACTTAATTACCTATTGATAAGCGTTCTATAATCAACCATTTCATTAGTGGGTCTTTATCGAACTTAATATTAGGTTTTGATAAAGATGGTCCACTTCTCCAATCTGTAAAGTTAGTTTAACCTGCTTTTTTAATTTTAATGGGACGATAATTCACTGAAATTAATAACTACTGCTTATGCAGTGTGTAACAGCCAAATGGATTAAACTCAGTAACTCAATTACTCTGCATATTTGTAAAAATCCCGAAACACGTCAATTTCAGATTATAAAATGATAACCGACAACTAGAAAGTTTTACCCCTACCTTCACAAGTGACAGTTGCAACTCCCAAATTTGCAAATATAAAGTAGGAGCTTGTGTTACCTCATTTGGAAGGTCTCTTTATTCTCTATTCAAAAATGATGTGGTTTTCAAATTTATTGCAAAGTTAACAACCAAAATATTAATTAATTACTAACAGAGTTTCGTTCTTGATAATGTAAAAAAATAACAGAAACATCAATCTCAATGTAGGATATGTTCAAAAGGCATGCCTCGAACGTCCAAGCAGCATCATATTCGTAAATAAAATTGTCTTCTAAAGGTAATCAGCATCCGAGGCGTGACCGCCGTAACCGCAAACGCTATTCTTCTAAATCGCATGGTTTTGTTTTGTATAGCATATTTTTTCCCATAAGAAAAAGTCTAATGGCGTATGATGAGGTGATCGTTATGGCCATTCTATCGATCCTCGCCTCCCTATCCACAGATTTCATAATATTTTGTCAAGGTACTGCCAGACATTGTTTTGGTAATGTGGGCGTGCTCCATCCTGCTGGAATGTGTGGGTTTGCATGACCAGAATATAAATTTACCAAAATTGGGACATTATTTTGGAGTAGTGTTAAATAATTATCTCCATTCAAATTATAATCAATGAAAAAGAGACCAATGACATGATTTCCAACTATCCCTGTCTAAAAATTAACCTTTTCAGGGCGTTGTGTATGTTTTTCTCTCATCCAGTGAGAATTTTCATAAAATGAGTAGCGAAAATTTTGACTATTAGTATGGCCGTGAAATGTAAAAGTGCATTCCTCAGAAAACACATGTTCTAGTTGGATAACATTTGATACAGTTAGCCATGCTTTGTTCCTTGAGTCACTTGAAAATATTGGTGTAAGTGGTAAAACACTGAAATTTTTTAAAAGCTATTTATCTAATAGATCTCAGCATGTTCAAATTGATAATATATACAGTAATTTAAGGAATGTGGAGTATGGGGTACCGCAGGGCACAGTGCTGGGTCCTATATTATTCAACGTCTATTTAAACAATTTATTTTTTATATAAAGTGCAGGATATTATTACATACGCTGATGATACGGTAATTTTATATACAGACAACACATGGAAAGATTTAAAGCTAAAAGTCGAAAAATACCCTCAATTAATTAAATCCTGGTTTGAAAATCGCCTGCTAACAATAAATGAGAGTAAAACATTTTTTTACCCATCTCTGCAAACATATCTGGTCTTCCAACATACAGTAATCATACTGTTACTCATGATTTTCAAATAAAAATAACATATAAATTCAAATATCTAGGGATAGTTCTGGATAGTCACCTTAGGTGGGACAAACATATTGAGTAGGTACCTCCTGAAAAAAATACGTTATCTTATCTAATAATTTTACAAATTACAAATAATTTTACAAAATTTCAGCAGCCATACATGCGATAAAAGTTGTGTTTGGGTGTAGCTCGCAAAAATCATCTTTTTTAGTGAGAAATAGTGCAAAATAATCGGATGTTTGAACACCAATAAAAAGGAAAAATCACAGTGAGTCCGATATACTACCCAATTTTTGAATTAAATGCAAATTAACAAAGTTATTAACAAAGTTATTAATTAAATCGTATTATAGCCAAAAATACAAGATAGTTTATTCTGTTTTTGCGGTGGTTTTTCTGCGATAAACAAAAGAAGTCGAATTACATTTCTGATTTAAAATTTTGGCAGTGTCTATTGAACCGATGCGTTGGAAACAAATTTTAAACAAACTAAAATAATAATGGCTTCTAATAAAATTGTTACTCTCGACGATTTACACGTCCTTTTACTTAATCTTAATGCAAAAGTGGACTTAACACAAACCACGCTAACTGAATTCAAGCAAGAACTTATGAACGTCGGTAATAGAACCAACAATCTTGAGAAAGAAAATATTGCCCTAAAAGCTAAGGTGTTTGAGTTAGATCGTAAACTACGTAATAACAGTATTGTGGTTTTTGGATTGGAGAATCAACTCAATTGCGTAGACGCGCTCACATTTCTCTCAAGTAAACTTGAAATTAACTTGGGACTTCAAGATTTAAATTTTATAAACCTGTTTACTTCAAAAAATAATAAAAAGATATTAAAAATCGATTTCTTGTCTAACCTAAAGAAAAGTCAAGTATTAAAAAATCTCAACAAACTTAAGGACTGCCACATTTTCGTTGCCGACGACCTAAATCCACAGGACCAACTGTTACACAAGGAGTTAAGAAAACATCTGAATACTGGAAAGAAAAACGGTTTAAAAATATTTATAAAAAATAATCGCTTGTGTGTAAATAACAAAAAATACACATTAGAAGAGTTAAATACCAATCCCGATATTCTAGCAAGTTTATCCATTATCTCTGGACCTCCTACTTCCGAAGGTTTAACACAATCAAGCAGTTCCTCTGGACCAAGTAGTAACCCACAGGATCTGGATAAAATAACTGATCGTCTACGAAACAAAGATAAGCGACAACTTCAAAGAAAATAGTTTGTGTTATTCTTATGTCCTAAAATTAGTAG